ACTGGAACAGTCACAGGGAGAGCAGTCAAAGCAATTGTATTGTTATGTGTGCAACGGCGCCATTGTTAAGTTCAACAAAAAAAATTGTTGAATGATTTTAATTTTAACCAATTGTTAACAAAAACTAATTAAAAATGAACATAATTTAAAAATATAACAAAATACAAAAATTAAATGTATTCAATTAAACATATTTAAATATTAATTTATTATTTTTGTTATTATAATTAAAATCATATAAATAATAATTTCTTTTTAATTACACTGTACTCATTCACTCATTTCATGTAAAATAATATAATAAAATGTACCAGAAGTGTTTGTGCCACCTATACCTCATAAAATGACTTGTCATCTGACCAGTAGTGACTCTCGGCATCCTGCAGTATGCTGGTGGCACACACATGGACGCAGTAGCTGGTCAGATGCTCGTGAATGGCCTCCGTCACTTCCTGACTCCTCTGGACGGGCAGCAGAGTCAGAGGCCTGCAGTCGGACACATCAAAGCCATAAGGGCCAAATTTAAGAAGGCATGCATTTCATGGGTCAAAGTGCCATTAAGTGATTAATATCAGCAAATGGCCCCGATTATTACCTGCCAATCATTCGCCACCTCTGTACTTCCTCTCCTTCCCTCTTTCCCACCATCTCTCTTACCCGCTCTCAAATCATAAGGCCACGTGTGCTGTCTGAATCAATCACTCTCTCCTATTCCATTTCTGTATTTAATTTCTCTCTTTCTCTCTCCCCTCCTCCTTCCCTTTGGCTCTTTGCAAGCTAACATCTGTTTTCGAACAAACACACATCCTTTGCAGATAAATAGTTCTGTCAGGACTCGCAGGCTCACGCAGGTCCCGCTCTGATTCTTTACAATCCAATTACGGCATTTTAGTATTTCTGGCAATGGCCTGACAATCTCCCTGACTGGGAAAAACCCGGTGGACAAACTATAAATTGAGAAGCTCCCCATCACAAATGTCTCTTGTTTTATGTACATTATGCAAAAGTTAAACTTCAATTTTCCAGACAGAATGGTCTTTTTTAATGTGCTGTTTTATTTATGCTTCTTGTTGTTTTTATAGTATGAAGAATTGAATAGGATTCAATGTTGAGTGCATACGTGACTTTTGAAACACTCAGTAGATGAGGGTGGAAAGGTTAAAGTCTACCTAAAGCATCTATCTAATCAATAAAATGTCTTGTTGTTTGCCCATCTGTTTCTCACATAGTTTACATCTCAGGTAAAATATACTGTACATTATTTATTGTGGTAGTAAACAGTTCATTTTAACAGCAGACAACAGCAGATTCAAATCACTACAGAGATCTTTGCAGGATCAACAGCAGGACAAAAGGTCAAAATGATATTCTAGTCTATGAAATCTGTATGCTCTCACAAAGTCACCCTGCAGATGAACTAACAACAACATCAACAGCAAAAGCTATAGTTATTAACTTCACCACATCAATGATTACACCTTTTTCTTTGTTAAACATGTTTTTTATTATTTGTCTTAGATTATGCGAAGTTCCCACCCTGTGAATGAGCTGTTACTATAGAAATGATAACATATTAGAATTAGTGCTTTAATATAAACCTATTGCTCATGTTACAGCCGGAGCTACTGTCCATGCCATGTGGTTATACAAAAATAACGCACAACTTCTGACCAATCAGATTTAAGAATTCAACCGTGCTGTGATATAAAATTAATTAATATATCAGTTAATTAAATTCATTTATTATATTCAATACAATAATTAATGTCATTAATATATCAATTAATTAAATTAAAATATATTACTTAATTGAATGTTCTAAATGTGAAATAAATACTTTGCACTGACTCCAACCTCTATATTTTCTGAACAGCTTTGGATTTTCTTAGCTGTAATAATTTTTTCACATATTGGTTCACGAGGCCGAAAGGTTGGTGGCTTATGCTCAAACTACTTTTCTGTTCATTTTGTATTACATTTTGGATCAAATTTTATTTTGAATGTCTTAACACTCTATTTCATTTGTAGATAATTATATTCCCTATAGTATATATTTTTATACAGTACTGGGCAAAAGTCTTAGGCGCCCTATTTTTTTAGTACAAACTTTGTTATAGGTTTTTATTTTATGACTTCTACGTTATTGATTCAGTATAAAAACATTTTAGATTTCCAAACATTTGTTTTTCAGCACAAAATTAAATGTAAAAAAATTTAAAAAATTTAAAAAATTAAAAAAATTTAAAAAATTAAAAAATTTTAAAAAATGTTTGTATGTCATTAAAGAAAGCAGCATATTACATAAGAGACACTTTTCAGACAAAAAAAAAACATAATGAAGGCTGCTGGGTTTTGCTGCAAAAATAAGAAGCAAGTGTGACAGTCAAAGTCTCCAGAAGAACTGCGGCTGCTTCTGCAAGATGCTCAGTAAAACTTACAGCTCATTTCTTTATAAAACTGCATACACTGTACCTGAGACTACAAATTTTTTTTTAAAGCGAAGGATCGTCACACCAAATATTGACTTTGTTTCATTTATTACTGTTTACTGCTCTTTATAGTATTTTTTTAACGTAGAAACATTTAATTTCATTATTTTTGAAGGCATCTTTGCTCTACAGCATTTCTTTGCATGTGCCTGAGACTTTTGCACAGTACTGTAGCTCTAGCATAAGCATATTCATGAGCAACTATATTAATTCTAGTTAAACAGATTAAGAGTAAAATGGTTTGATTTTGATTGTGCATGTTCAGCATGTGTAACCTCTTTTAAAGCACCTACTTACATGCGATTGGTGTCCCCTAGCTGGCTCTCATAGTAAGCCAGTCTGTGGTGGATATAAGTGCTGGAGGCCAGTATGGCGGGAAGGTTCTTGAGGGGTGAGGAGTGAGGAACCTCCCTTGCCCTCTCATACAGCCTGGTCAGGAGAGCCGAGGTTAGCTGGCCACACAACTCTATGTAGCAGGAGCACACAGGGAGCAGAGCATCTTCTTTACACGCCACAGCCAAAGGGAGGAGAGCATCCAACTCCTCCATCACATCTGCACAGAACTGCAGGAGGACAGCCAAGATATGCATGTAAAATACATCCGAAATACAAAAAAATGACAAAAACATATAGAATTATCCTGATCAATAAACACGGATATTGATAGTTCCATATATAAACATGAACTGCAGAAAAACGCCTGGCCTCTAGCAGAAGTTTGAGGGTGCCCTCCCTCCCCTGTAGGTGTAGGAACACTAAAGCAGGTATGGTGATCTAAAGGTGCCATGGCAATGGTCCATTTGCTCATGCTGGCTTTGTGAGTCTGGAACCAGAGCCCTACTATCTACGGTTTATTTCGGCAGTAAGTATGAAGAGTGTCCCCAGTACTCAAAGCTGATCTGAACACAGAGGCAAAGCCATTCACACTTGGTGACACTGATAAGATAGGCTGGTCCAGGTATCCGACTGCCAGGACTGGTGTGACGATCAGCTCCCTTACAGAGGCAGCAACATCTACAAATTGCAGGGACTGCTCCAATGCTAGCAGCAAAATAGCTAATGTATTACCAGTGCATGCCACACACAATGCAAATGCCTAACTTGGGAGTTACCAGCAGGCATATGGCCAAACCTGACCTCCACATGATTAACCATGTTGTCCAGAATATGTGCCACAGAGTTGGGTATGGGTGAACTGGGGCCTGTTTGATTCCCCTAAAAGCTGTCAACAGAGTCTTTGCAGTATGGCATAGCAATCTCTTTTAGGTGCCATGTGAAAGAGTGCATTCACCACTGTGGGTTGCATTACAACATCCAACTCTACATGGGTCCCTGCCATGTTTAGAGTGGCTGCCATGGCTAGCCTACAGCGTGTCATGGGCACCCGGGGCAGAAGTGGCAGGGGCAGGACCAGACTACTCTCCAGATGCTGCAGAGACCAGAGCTGAACAAGGGAAATAGCCTGGACAAACCTCCCAGATACAGCCAAAAGCTCAGTATCATTGCTTGTGCTCTACTGGTAAGTGGCAATTAATAGATTTCAGCTGGGCCATGTTTGCTTCCCAAGTCTTTAGGCCAGGTTAGACCAGGAGTGTTCAACCAATTTGCAGTCAGGGATATACTTATTTTGTGAGCTATTCAAATATTTAAATGTGCACAATAATATTTTTCTATTTATTGGAGGTATCTGAACTTTTTTTTTAATTAAAACAGGCTATGTTTGTGAGTTATAGACATTTGGATTAAATTCATCCAATTCAAGTGACCTGTCAGACAGACTAACAACTAGAACTCTAAATGAGTCTAATAATTTTCATAAATTATGATGGATCGTAACAAAATATTGAAAAAAACATGTGGACCCCCTGTCTATTAGTCTCTCAGTCAAGTATTAAATCTGCTGGTTGAGCGTGCCATTTTGACATAGGCTGCAGTCACCAGTCAGCATAGGGATGTCCAAGTCATGCCAAGTCATGTAGTTGGCAGAAGATGTGGAATATTCAAAGGAGAAAACGCAGAGGGAGAAACCGACTCAGCAGGAAAGAGATGAGCGGTAAGTGCTGCTCGCTGTATGCTAAATACAACTACCAGTGGAGATGAATGCAGTAAACAAAGAGCAGTGACAGACTAGCTAAATGCAAGGCAGTAAATTTGTGTTTTCAGTGTGAGATCTCTCCCATCTCTATACCCATCATGCAAGTAATTCTGGAGCTGACTGTATAATCTCAAAGACATTTACAAACATATGAGTAGCAAAACTGTACAAGTCTCCTTGAATCACTACCAACAGACACAATGAGGGTATATAGCTGTTATATTGTATTTGTTGCTGTTGTTCTTTCGGCTGCTCCCGTTAGGGGTCGCCACAGTGGATCATTGGTCCGCATATTTGATTTGGCACAGTTTTTACGCAGGATGCTCTTCCTGACGCAACCCCGCCCCAATTTTATCCAGGCTTGGAACTGGCACTGGGAGTGCACTGTCGTGTGCAACCCCAGTGGTTGGGGTTGGTTCCCTGGCCGGGAATTGAACCCGGGCCACGGCTGTGAGAGCACAGAGGTCTATCCACTAGTCCTTCAGGAACCCTAGCTATTATATTGTATATATTGCTGGAAAACAGACATTTTCTCAGACACTTCTTTTACACTGTAAACTACAGAAAGGAACAGAAAGCAATCACATGGACAGATAAGCAGTCCAAATTCAAAGAGAAATACTTGCATTTGATCTCCTGAAATAACTTTAACACAAGTAAAATTTCAGTGTGCGTTAGATTAAAGTGCCTGAATCACTCGGGCAGAAATGGATGTGGGAGAAGTCAGGCTATTCAAACACTTGGAGCCTTCTCTCCTGTGGCACTTGGAAAGGAGAGCAATACTTTATCTCATGTTTCCACATTTGTCCTGAAGAAAGGTTTCTCTTTGCAAGCCCTGAGTGAGAGCGTGATTATGAATATGTGTGTATGCCTGCAAATAAAAAAAGAGTGCCTCAGGGGGCACATCACTTGAAAGAAAAGATTCCTAAGGGTTATCAGTGAAGAAGGCAGCCCCAAATTGGAACATGCACACAACATTTTCAGTCTGCTTCCTCCTCCTCCTCCATCTCCACTTTCCAAAATAAAGACATCACCCCAGACCCTTCCCAAGCACCCCAAGCAGCCCTCTGTTCCCTCCCTCCATCCACACACACTCACTTTGAAAGAGCAGCACATCAGTATGAATGACACTGGATCAGGCCATACCAGTGAGTTCACTGCCAAATTTATACACCTATAGAAGTGAGTTATAGCACCAGGCATCTTGAAAGCAGTAAAACATGTGTGTATACCATATATACACTCCTTGGGAGTCACCATAGCCTGAGGCCTCGTGAACACAGGCAACAACGGCACGCTTTTTAAATGGAAACATTCCAATACTATCAATCAGACAGTGCACAAGCAAGTGAGGGGTGACTTCATGATGCTCCACTAAATATCAGCACTCACCTACCCTAGCCTCTTGCTTCGTGCTGTCAGAGAAAGACATTCTCAGTACGGTAAGAGCCCCTGCCAAGCCTGGAGCCCCAGCGGAGAGAAGAGGCCTCGAAACAATGAGCCAGTTCGACAGTCGAGTCAATAACCAGCTCGCTTTGGCCGTTAAGAGCTTAGAAGGAGTGTGAAAGAGGTAGGTGAAAGTACACAGCCGCATGCTCGGCACTCTCTCAAACCGAAGGTGATGAGGACTCAGGAGGTGTCTGTGAGATTTATGGCTTTCTCAAGTCCACTGCTTGGGTTCTGAGAACCTTTAACTAATACAGATCAAAGATATGGATCCCACCAGGACAGCCACTGCAAGGTTATTCCTCTGTAAGCCTATAAAACATTTAAAAGCTATACTCTGTTGCAGACTTTTTAACAGCTACTTTTGAATGGTGCTGAATTTTGGGCCCTTACTGAGAGGCAGAAGGTTAAGGGCAATGTGCAGCCAGCGTCAAGACAATGTGCTCAATAATTCGGGCATGACTTCAGAGTGATAAATGGTTCTCCCAAACATTATGCGGGACAGGAGCCCTGGAAATACTAGGAATCTGAACCAAGGCATGAATGTATGAATATGAAAGTGTGAAATATTGATTCTATTAATGCGTTTGGAGTGGCTATGCTCTGAAGCCGGTCCTGTGGTAGCGTGCTGCCACCTGCTTATGGTCCACTGCGGTATGTGTCAGAAATGGTTGGAGTTCTCTGAGTCTCAGGGCAGCAGGGGATGCAAATAAATGCACGTCGTAACCTTTGAGTCGAGCGCTGCTCATTTCGAAGCACTGACCTACACGGAAATGTGTTGTACAGGTCTTGAGTGTGGACAAATTCTGACACTTGTTTGTGATGTGGTTCAGCGAGCGCCAACTGCTCCATCAAAGTGCCGGAATTAAAGTCAGGATCAACATTACAAAGCTGTTTTATTCAAATGCTTGTATCGACATGAGAAGGATCATCAGTGCTGAAATGTCGATCACAGGGCCTCCAACATCAGCTTGAGAAACATCAGCCATGTGCGCATTCACATTAAGGTTCATTTTTGGTTTAGTTATAGTTTTAGTCTTTTGATGTAAATGAGCTTTAAAATGGATTCAGTTTTAGGCATGTTTTATTGATTAAGTTCAGTTGCTTTGACTCCCACCAAAGTAGCAGATATATTTATTAATGACTTCACATTTAGTGTATGTGCACATTGATCAAACAGAACTAAACAATTTCAAACACTTATTAAAACAGCATTTTTATCCGTTCCTTGTGCAAAAGTATTCTCCATTGTTTTGTAAAATTTGTTTTTAAGGTTAGATAAGAGAACTATGTAAGATGAGATAGATATGAGCGGTTGGACAGTGGATAGTGCTGCTGCCTCAGTTCCAGGGTCCCAGGTTCGATCCTGACCTCCAGATTTCTGTGTCCATGTGGGTTTCCTCCAAGTTCTCTGGTTTCCTCCCGCCTCCCAAAAACTCTCCACTAGGTGAACTGGCTATGGTAAAGTGCCCTTAGGTGTGAGTGTGTGAATGTGTGTGTATGGTCCCCTGCGATTGACTAGTGTCCCACCCAAGGTGTATTCCTACCTCACATGCAGTGTTCCTGGAATCAGCTCCAGATCCACCATGACCCTGACCAGGATAAAGTGGTTACTGAAGATGAATGAGTGAACGATTTATGTTTTTAGATGAAAATGTGAACATTTGTCAAACAGAACCAACTAAACAAATTCAAACACAAAATTCTACAACTTTTGAAAACTTTTTGGGGGTGTCAAGGGTTATTTGGGTTTGTTTGTTTGTGGTGTGTGTGTGTGTTTTGTGAAGTTGAAATGTGAGATGTATTAGGGAGGCTGCATTAGTTCAGAAAATAAGGAAATGTTTACAGATAACTCCTTTAGATCTCTGGGATTTAATCTTTCAAATCTAAGTAACTTCAATAACAGAACAGCAATATTTTCCAGCTTGAAAATGAGTGTCTTTAAATTTCATACTTTTCCAGACTTCCCAGAAACCCTGACACAATGACGCTGGAAAAAGTAAAATACGGTTTCCTTCTGTGGTGAGATTTACATCCAGAGCAGCTCATCTTCACAAACTATGTAGGCAACACAGAAACACATGTGCAACATGCAACATGGAAGAAAGTCAGCACTCCATGATGATCCGGCCATGATCAGTAACGTGCCATAAGAATCACTGTTAATGTCAAAGTCCAGATGTGTTTGCTGCACTTGTGCCAACCATTTGTACTGTTTTATTTCTTCATGACGGCATTTCAGCGTATTGTCTTTACAAGTATTTTCTTTTCAGCCTATTTGAGGCTCTCGATAGTGCATATTTAAAAACTCTTTCTCAAGATCCATTTTCATCTGTAATGCGTTTCTTTTATGACTTTAAACACACACGTGTTCTCAGCAGGCCGATGGCGAGACCCAAACGACATGCACTCTGCCTAGTTCAGAGGCCCACAGCTGGCGTTGAGACAGGCCATCAATTCCTCACACCAATGTGAGCACACAGCTCTCTAAACAGGGAAAATCGCAATGAGGGATAAAATGAGGCGAGACATCCTGGACCAACACAGGAAACAGCTGGACACGGACTGAACTGTGGAACTTCGGTCCCCTAAGACGGAGCAGATGTCACTATGGAAGATTCATGAATGGAGCTCAATGTCATTGTAGATCTAATGTCATTGAAAGCTAATGAGTACTAAATAAAGCTAACATGGAAAATAAAGACATTGTGAAGCATCTCTGACTTCACGGTTTCACTGTGATCTGTATAGCTTGGCTGTAATTCCACCATTAACATGCTATAACATATCATATTGGGATGCAACCAGTTTTCACACCACAGACACACAGATGAAACTTACCTTAGCGATCATCTTGGGCTTGTCTCTCTCTGAACAGAGTTCAGCTTCCTGTTTGAGAGAAACAGAGGCTAGAGGGATAAAAGATGAGGTGGAGCTATGTGTCCTCTCCTCCTGCTGTAGACTCTTACTGCAGACATCTTCCAGAAACATCTTCACACCATGAGCCATCTGAGGAACCAGTACCCGAAATGCAGCCCTCCACTCAAACTCCAGACACACCACCTACACACACAGATACAGCACCAGAATTAAGCAGGTCAGTAATACAGTAGAACGTAATGTGCCTTTTTTAAAATGGAAAATACTGAATACAATCATGAATCAAAATAGGAAAATAAACAACGATGGGGTGATGTGATGTCCATTTTCCAATAAAGCATGTCCCAGAGTGTTTCACTCTTCTTATACCACAGCAATTTATCAATGCTAACATTTTTTTTTAATTTATTAAAGAATGATGTGTACTTTTTATCCATTTATAGGTACATTTAATGTTGTGGATCATCCGCAGAAGTTAATTCCTGTGATCACTTACATTATAGCAGCTATAAAGAGTCATTACCTCACATAGCTTCTCTATTTTTCTTTCTCTCTTCAAGTTAATAAGACAAAAGAAAATGCAGGTTGTCATATTACCTAGAGACCTGAAAGACCTCTATGCTGCCAAAAACATTATGTCAGAGCTTTACCTCTGACTGTTACAAAGTGCTGACACTGGAGACTCCTTCCAGAAATGCTAAATGCATGTCTCCTTATAGAAAACTTCACCATATCTACATTTTCACACATTTTTTGTTGTAGTTGTTGTTGTTGTTTATTAAATCTGTTTATATGGAACATCCACTGTACATGTCCCTGTGTAAGTTGTTACTACAGAAACAAGAGCATTAATTTAAAAAAAAAAAAAGAAAAAGAAAAAAAAAAGAGATTTGCCTTGCAGCCAATATCAGAGCCATGCTTTCACAGAAAATTCATTAACATATTCTGACCAATCAGAATCAAGAATTCAACAGTGTTGGTATAAACTGAGTTAAGTTAAGGCCATACACATAATAATTCCCATATCTGATTGGCTGTCTTTCTTTATAATAAGGACTAGTGTTATTAGAGTTTTAACTTTATAATCAAAACTATAGAGAGTTTTAGAGTTATATTTTTGACACATCCCAGTTTCACTTTAATTATATTTAAGTTTAAGTTC